GGGGGGGGGGTTTCTATGACCACATCACTATTATCCTGTCTTCCTTTTCCCTCGCACTGTATGACTATTGTCCTCTCTCTTTCTTTTCTTCTTGAACTAAATCACCTGCCTTACTATTTCCAAGCACTAATTGGCTGTTATCCTGAATTTATATGGCTTCATAGCGCAGACCAGAATGTTCTCTTCTGACTTCGATGATCAGATTAAGGTTGTTTGCATGACCCAGATTTCAGAATAATTGTTCATTTGTGTCGTGTGACTGTGTTTTGGGGCCGGTTGTTAGTGTAATCATAATATATTGTGAAGACGCGTATAAGTGCTGGGCGGTACCGCCGCAACCCAGTGCCTGTGCTTTCCATCTCATCTTATCTCATCTTACCCCTCTCATTAGATCTCATCTCATCTCATTTCATCTCATCTCTCCTCATCTCATCTCATTTCATCTCATCTTACCCCTTTCATTAGATCTCATCTCATCTCATCTCATCTCATCTCATCCTATCATAATTCTCTCTGTACCTCATCTCTTCTCATCTCATCTCTCCTCATCTCATCTCATTTCATCTCATCTCTCCTCATTTCATCTCATCTCTCCTCATTTCATCTCATCTCATCTTATCGTATTCCTCTCATGTACCTCACCTCATCTCATCTCATCTCAGTGGGCGGTTGGGGGTGCTCTAATGCGGTTTGCTTCTTCTTTCCTATCAAACATCTATCGTCCTTATCTCTCCTCCTTTAATTTTGTGTTTGTTACTCTCTTGTAACACCTCTAATCTTCGGCACTTATATGACTTCATTGCGTTGCAAGTGCCGTAAAACACTTACTAAAACTAAAATCTCATCTCACTTTATCTTATCTTATCTTATCTTATCTTGTCGTATCTTACCCATATGTCTAACGCTAACATTACTTTAACGCAATCCCACATCATCACTCATCACCACTGTTATTTTTAAAATCTTCCCCACTCTCAGATCAATGACTTACATCTTCAATCCTTTAATCTCTATCTGTAACAAGTTACTTGTCGTCATTCCAAGTATGCACGTCATGGACACTATCATACGCACTTTTTCCTACTAATCAGATTGCGTCAATTTCATATGAATGGGTAAGGGATGAAAACAAAAATCTTATCTTATCTTATCTTGTAATTGTCTTATCTTATCTCTCAACAGGTGGAGAACATCAACACCAGCCTTTCCTTCCTGGCCAACTTAGGGGTCAGCGTGGACGGGGTCAGTGCCAAAGGTGAGAGGTCATCGAATTCATTAATTAACTGTTTACATTATTGTTTGTTATTCTATTATGTTTAACATTTCTTTGAACAGTGCGCGTTTCCCATCATTTTGGAAAAATGGAGCAGGCACGTTTATTTTTGCTTCTGATAGGGATGGGATGAGACGTCGTACACATTCTAAGTTTGCAAATGTACGATGTAGATAAAAGGATTCGGACCTAGGCATTCTCAGTTCAGGCCCTGTATCTCGGACGGTTGGCTCCGGCATTGGGTGATTGGCGGGTGCTCTGGTGTGATTTGCTTCTTCTTTCCTATCAAACATCTATCGTCTTTATGTCCCCTCCTTTTTTGTGTTTGTTACTCATTTGTAACACCTCTAATCTGACGGAGCATTCTTACACTGTACTCACTGGACTGGCCGACAACGAAAATTACTTAAATTCAATCCATTTTTGTTGTTGCTGCTTTTTGGTGAGAAGGCCGCCTACATTCGGACCCATCCCTTCCTTGAAGCTGCCTTACGTCATTTTGTTATTGTCGTCATTGATGTCGATGATGATGTTGCACTGATTGTTCCACTTTCGTTGTCCATGTTCTAGTTTACTGGTGAAGAAACATTTTTCAATTATTTACATAGCGTTTCTTTTTTAACTCTTTCAAAAAGTACTTTTTATGGTGTAATATACAGAGATAACAGGTTATGTGGCTGACGTATCAGGGATTTGTCCTGAAAGGGTTAACAAGTCTTGTACTTTTGGAACTAAAGGAAAAAATGGACGAACAGACGAACAAACAAACAATCAAACCAAACATGCAAGTAGACATAATTTCTTCAGTGTATCTCCTGTCACCTTCTGCACGGCCATGAATGCTGGGCAATCACTATAGACAGGGAAAAGATCATAGAAGCAACAGAAATGTTGTTTCTTGTAAGACTGCAGATAATTTCTTGGAAGGAAAAGAAATCAAATGAGGAAGTGCTTGATGAAGCCCAAGTGGGGCGATCGCTGATACGAACAAACAGGAAACGACAAATGCAGTTTTTGGGACACATGAATAGACATAAAGGCCTTGATTGAACATCTCGATCTCACTGACAAAATTGAAGGCAAACGAGTCACAGCAACCTACTTGGAGAGCTTAAACAGACGGGTGGCGGGGAAAGATCAGGACAATATGGCAGCTTTTAAGGACAAGAGGGCTAACCCAGATAACGGGGATTTCCAGAAATCTTGACCTACACCAAAAGTGGGCATTGTTCTACCTATAGGAGAATTTTGGTTTCATTGGTGTGTATACTTGTTTGGTTATAGAGGAAACTCTTCTTGTCTTTTGAAGAAACTGAACTAGGATCCAAAAACTTTACCTTTGATTTTCTCAAAACAGCATTTAAAAGCGACCATATTATCCTGTTTTTTAAACATCCGAGAAAAGGAATGAATGGCGAACCATGATTGTCGATGTCTGTCTAGCATTTTGATGATGATGGTCTTCCGTCAATGTTTCAGATATCAAGGATGGAAACCTGAAGTCCATACTGGGGCTGTTCTTTAGCCTTTCTCGATACAAACAGCAGCAGAAGACACTGCAACAGCAACAGCAAAAACAGCAACGACAACAGCAACAACAACAGCCTCAGCAACAACAGCAGCAGTCGCACAAACAGCCAGGCGAGCAGCAGCAGCAGCAACAGCTGCAGCTCCAAGGTCAGCCTCGAGGTCAAAGTTCGTCTTCGGGTCAAGGTCAGAGCGGTGACCACAGCGCAGGCGTGACGTCAGCGCCTGGGAGTAAGAATATACCCAACGGTGGAGAGGCTGTGTCCAGGTGAGTGAGAGAGAGAGAGAGAGAGAGAGAGAGAGAGAGAGAGAGAGAGAGAGAAAGAGAGAGAGAGAGAGAGAGGAGGGGGGCTGAGTGAGTGAGCGAGTGAGAGGGAGAAAGAGATATAGGTAACGATAGAGAGAGAGAGGAAGAGAGAGAGGAAGAGAGAGAGGGGGGAGAGCGAGAGAGACGCAATGGGAGAGAGGGGATGAACGAGAAAGCAAAATATATACAGATGATGGAGAGAAAGAGAGAGAAAGAGAAGAGAAGAGAGATTGAGACAAGAAAGAACGAAAGAGAGAGAGGGAGAGAGAGAGAGAGA